CTGAGTTCCTCCGACCGGGTCATTTGCATAGAGTTCTGTTTGCGAAAAAAGTGACAAGACAAAGCATCGCCCCGAGACCTTTAGAACCGCATTTTTCCGCCGGCTCCCGAAGCGCTGTCAAGATGTAGTCACATTTCACTATAGGAGCGAAATGCTTTAGCCCGTAGAACTATTAATGTATTAATTTAGCCCGTAGAACTATTAATGAGTATAGAACTATTAATGTAGAACACGGTGGGTGGCTTCCCCGTAAAGCAAGGTCGACAGCTCGTCTGTCAGTATGTGAGCCTTTGGCTAACCTAAGCGAACGTTTTGGGGTGCAAGTTGAGAGTGGCCGAGCTGGCCGGTGAGCCACTCGGCCAGCGCGCAATCTTCAGAGTCAAACACGTGCGCGTTCTTCGCTTCGCAAAGCGAGCAAAGCACGCGCTATGCGCACGAACATTAAAGATGGCACCGGCCAGAAGCTCAATAGGCCTTCTTCTGGTAGAGTTTAAAATACTGCACAGCTGCGTGTGCAAAAAACAGTAAAAATGGAAAGCAATCGCCTATATATAATTCACTTAAGAACAGCATTATACAAGTAATAGACTTGCCAAATTAACGGTGTCTTTTGCGCACGTCAATGTGCAGGGTCTTCATATCTCCCTGAAGAGGGAGTAGTTTTGGCATGGGTCTATTGCAACTGTCTCGTGCTCACAAAAGGCTGCAGGAAGTGCTCGGTCAATGTTCAGAAGTCGAGTTAGGAACCGGTTCGAACAGCTTCGCACTTATTAAAACCGGCAACCGGAGTGATATTATGTGCGCTAATTTAACCCGGAACCGAACCGGAACAAAATACATTGCTACTGAACCCGAAATCGAACCGAACCGAAATAATGACCGGTTCGACACCCCGGTTTGAACGAACCCTGCAGAAAAGGACAGACGCCCTATAAAGAACCCTACATTTCTCGTACCGAGTCGATATTTTATCAGAAGCAGTAGAAAAATAAACAGGAGTGCTCATATATCCTTAGGAAAACAAAGAAATCCTCCAGTATGGTACAGACAAAAGTATCTATTAATGATATGAGCAGAGATACCTCTATAGATAAAAGCAAAATATTACAAAACTACGGAAGCTTCGAATTATTAAACAGGTTACTTAATTAATCTAGTCGGTATGTAATACTGACATTTGTTGGTATAGATTCGTCAGTGTTTGGTATAAAGTTGAAATTTCGAATTCAAGGTCAGCGACAAGCCCTAGTAGCACCAAATGTTGCCACAATGTTACTGGAATGTGGTCCGCCAATGTTGTGTATACGTGGCTAATGTCCGCAAAATGTCATGTCGCTGGAACGTTATGTGAAAACATTCCCGTAACATCACAGTAAACATTTGTGCTATGTTATGCCCTCAACATTTGTGCTATGTTATGCCCTCAACATTTATGCTATGTTATGCCCTCAACATTTGTGGTATGTTATGCCCTCAACATTAGTGGAACATAATTTATTAACATTGTTTATATATTTCCAATGACCACACAGCAAACATTTGTGGTTTGTTTTGTCCTCAACATTCGTGTAACATTAACCTGGTGTCTCAAGTAGCAGCCAGGCTCTTTAAATCAACCGCAAAATTTGGTTTCTTAACCTATTGCGCTAGGAGTTTTTGCAGCGTTGCCCACAGGCGGTGCATTTTTTTATAAAAATTGCAAAGAGCGAACTTACCTGAGGAAAAAGTAAAGAAAGAAAAAGGGTTAACTCCTTTGGAAACCCAGCGAAGGCACCGGTCTTCAAACAATAGGGCGCCCTATTTTTGAAGACCGTTGGCTTCGCTGCATTTCCATAGCAGTTAAGCCTTTTTGTTTCTTTATTTTTTCCTCAGTGAGTTCACTCTTTGCAATTTTTATAGAAAAAATACACCACCTGTGGGCAACGCTGCACAAAATTCTAGCGCGATAGGTTAAGAAACCGAATTTTGTGGTCGATTTAAAGAGACTGGTTACTATTTGAGACACCCAATATATTGCCAATTGACCACTACTTTTCAACATGAGCTACATTATAAAAAATCAATTTACCCACAACAAGGACAGCTAAAAATGGACGAGCACACATACATAGCCGCAGTGTGCTAGCCCCGTTTCTATCTTTCCTCGTCTCGGGCAAATTAGTCGCAGACTAGCTCCCTCTGCGATTTCACCCCACCTTCGACTGTGTGAAAGCCGTCCATCAAATAGCACTGCTGCTGAACCGCTCTTAGAAGTTATTCACTTCACTTGAGAAAACGTGAGTACTCTTTTCTGTAATCTGCTTTCAATCATGTCGATCTATCCCAGTTTTATTTCGAGGTAATAGCTTTTATAAAAAGCTCAACTTTTTTTTAAACGTTTTTCAGCCAATCAGAATGTTTAACTTTTAGATGTTTGTCGCTCCAAAGTTCTTGCACAAAAATTTTCTGAGCAGAGAAGACACTAAAAAAGACATTTAGCCTAATTGTGAAGTAAACTTTGCGAGGGAAAAAAAATTTTCTCAAGTGACAGAGAGATAAAGAACTTCTGATGATCTTAAAGGACAAACATTGATTTGAATTCCCAAAATAATTAGCACTTATAACCAACAAAGGCTAGACACATTTAGCTAATGAATGGGTATATTGAAGATAAAATGTTTGTCCCAAGTTGCTTTAATACCCAAGTTGACACCTTAGTAACTGTTGAGCACTGCACTTATTGACAACATGTCGGTTACCAGAAATGTAACTTGTAATATATATGCCTCACGGAACTCCAAAACCAAATTTAGCAGCTATACTCCGTTTCCCCTTCAGTTGAAGCGCAGCATACACTACGAGCCATCCCAGTCAATTTAGCGTCAAGTCTGATGCGGCCTTGAGCTCTGCCTCCCGTTCCACACAACTGGAAGGTCATGTGATACTCTTCCGGCGCTGGATCAGCTGGGATGGCCCATACCATTCACTATGCTTTAACTTAAAGTGAAACGGAGCATAGTGGAGACAGCACTGTAAGTATTCAGACTCAATATTTCGAAATTAATTAGTGTTGATTTTCATTTCTTTTATATTAAACTTTCACAACCAACAAAAGTAAAAGGTTTCATGGATTACCAGTATCCCCAACCATTGGGCAATTGATTTGCATGATAACTTTTCTACAAGTTTTTCTCCAATTGCAAGATTTTGAATTATTTTGGAGTGGATTATCTATTCTCTACAGCAGAAGACTGACTAATAGAACATGCATATCACAAGATGCATCCCCCCCCCAGACAATATAATTTCAGCAAAATTTTCACTTTGTGACACAATTTAAAGCAGTCCTCCACTCTACTTTTCTCTCTCGCATCTGCTCATGGCAAGCAGAGAAGGAAGCAGGGGCTGCTGGGAAAAGTATGCACATCCGTCTCCATCACTTCGTTCCAGCCAATACGTGGCTTGCACATGACGTCATTTCCGATGCCCTCCAGAGAAAAGGGGAAGAAGGAGCTCCCCTCTTATCAGTGTCCCCCTTTGTGCCTCCCGGATTTGCACAGGCTTCGCTATTCTCCTCCCAGAAGATTATAGAAGATTAACCTGTCACTCAAAATTCTTAAAAAAGCAGCTTCCCTCTCCTCCTTTTACATAGTGTTCAAAAGTATGCGATGTGACATCAGCGCAAGGAGCCTATAGGAAGTTACAAAAGGAAGCTATCTCCTTGAAATAGCAACCACCTTTCAGGCAACCATGTAAAATCAGTCTTGCCAAAATGAGTCTTGCACCCTAAATAGTTATACTTTATTTTATTTTTTTTTCAAGGAAAATGCATTTTATGACATGGGTGTCCTATCCATGTCATTCTAACTTGTTCTAACTTTTTTAGTGGCCCTCTAAGAGGCACCTGTCACTGACCATAAAGTAGGACGCTTAGAGGAATCCAAAAGATTTGTTGAGATAGGGTTTATTTTCATAAATCTTCCAAGTTTTACATTGCACTCAGTAGAAGCTGTAAGCTCAGCCAACTTGAGTAAAATAAACTGCGAGAAAACATCACGAAAAAGGTTACAGCAACAGGACCAGACATATACTGCGGAAACATTTGCAGATTCACTAAGAAACATACTCAACTTCTCAAAAAGTATGAGTGGTAACAACCAAGCTTAAGTTAGCAGAAGAAACATGCAGTTTGAAAGTAACTTTGAACTAAATATAATTGACTAGATATAAGCAAAGGTGTGTTACAAACGGATCATTCTTGCATCCGTAGGGCAACTGCAAGAGGAAAAAAAAAGTAATTACACAGACGAAAATTATAACAAAAATGTTTAGCTCCTATTCATAGGCAGTATCGACGTTTACCAGGAATAGATGTGACAGCTACTCGCTTAGTTCTATATACACAGATTGTGAAAATAGCGGTAAATAAGTTCAAAAAAAAAACAACACTAGAGTAACCTGCCACTGATGTTACCATATATGTTGCTGCTCAAAGTTATCATAAAACAAACATATGTCATATTAATAAATAGAGAAGGAAGAGGAACAGTTACATAAAACTAGAGGGCACACAGTCCCTTATCGCCATCTTGAACGGAGTGTCACCCTTTCTCTACACCAAGTGTCATTATTAGCTGTAGATTACTCCCAGAAGTCAAAAACTTATTTTCGGAAACCTCAATGAGACAGGCAAATGTCCTGCTTGTCCTCTGTCAATAACATAAACGTCATAATTATTGTGATCAATAAATTACATGGGTCCCCACCCCCTAACCACCTAAAAAAGCTGTGCACATGGCAGGCTTCATGTTACTTGGTAATGACATTAACGAGATAAACACTCACTTTTCTCAGTACTGTTTCTAAAGTGCAGTCAAGGTCAGAAAAACAAACTGACATATTAAGGAACATAATTTCCACATCAAAGGTCACTCAATGCCTGGAAAGTCAGAGTGAAAGGGAAAGTCAGAGTGAAAGAAGCTGACTATAAACATAATATTGTAAAAAAAGTGCTTGCCTCTTTCTACAATGTCACCTCTAGGCAGAGGCAGCGCCCTCCTGCAAAAAGCATATTAAAGAGTAAAGCTATACAGGGCGTTCCTTTAATTCTTTACAGAATTGAAAAAAAAAAAAGCTGATAGCTACGTGGATTCGCCTTCAGTGTATATTTGTGGGGCTTGGAGGGCATATGAGGGTATAAATGTCACAGTATGTTGGCTAACAAAAATCTGTTAATTAACTTTTTCATAAACGGTTTAATGGGCCACGTTGCAATCGCAGTTTTAAAGGGAGCCATTAGTAAAGGCTAACCCAATTTATACAGTTTGCAAAAAAAAACAAAAAATATTAAGATATTTATTGTTAAAATTTTGCCTTCGCTTGATTAAAAACCGCGTGCTGAATGGCGCGCCTGGTTAGGATTCGTAGAATAGTGATGGATTTGTTTCGGGTTCATCGTCACTATCTCTACAGCGTGCCTTCGATAGACGCGCCGGCGTCACTCTTCTGAGATTGTGACAGATGTACAGAAGTGGCTATGTCACTCTTCTACCAAGCATAATCAGGTGCGCGTTTTGAATCAAGCGAAGAACGGCAAAATTTTAACGACGAGTATAACAAAGCTCATTGTCTTTTTGCAAATTACCTCCATTGGGATGGGCTTTATTGATTGCTTCCTTTAAAACTGCAATGGCAACATGGCCAATTAAGCCATCAAATAAAAAGTTAATTATCAGTTTTTGTTAATTAGTGAACATACTTTGACTTTTATCTCCTCACCTAATGTACGCCGAGCCCCAGAAACATACAGTGAAGCGGCATTCACGTAGCTATCGGCTCTTTTTAAAAAGATTTTGTAAAAAATAAGAAAAAACATTCTGTATGCTCAAATCTTAAAGGCTTCCAAAAAAAAATGGGTTGTGGATATTTAGACAGCGTGATGTTGATCAGCCATTCAAATGATGCACATACGTCTACGCTATAGATGAGATATTTAGCCAGTGCAGTACAACTGGTAGTCTGGGTCTTTAACATGCGTTACACAGAAGTGATAAACAAACGTGTGCCAGTATGATGATCATTCAAATCGAAATAGACAGGGGTGGGGTTTGAGCACATGATCCGTGGGTTCTGCAGCAAAGGTTTGTGAACAATCGTACTAGCTCTCTGAACAAGTCATAATTAGAAGCTGGGAATTTCATAACCTAAATTGTGTCAAAGTTAACTGAAATAATATGTGAGAGCATTTTAGATATTTTTTAAATCATTATGTAAAAGTTTTCAAAATTCATAAAGTCTCAAATAAGTGTTATAGCTATACAAAAAACTTCAAAAGGAAATCGGTTGTATGAATATTTACACTGAAGTGTCAGTCACGGCTCCTTGATTCACAATTATAAGATACACTGAGGCCAGTGCGGGGTAAAAGGTAATCTGAAGTAGCTCAAAATGCATCACAGTTGTGATGTCAGGAACAAAAAAGCATGCTGTTCGAACTCCTGATCAAATAAGGACACTGGAGCGAGGAACCTTTGGCTCCGAAGCAGGTTCAGCATTCATAAATGTAAATACTAAAATTTAAAAATATAAAGAGAAAACTTTAGCATATCCAATAAATGAGGTGACATGCCTTTGACTGTGTAACGGGACCTGGAGGTCTTGCAAAACCGTAACATGGGCTTCTTCTCTTCCCCATCGCCTCTTGTGCACTGTCCCATCATACGTTCACGAGCACTTGTCAACTGCCTTCTGGCAGATTTCACAAGCACTCCGACTTGTACGGCTGTATAGCTCAATAGACTAGACGTTGGCTTCAACCAGAGGGACACAGGCTCGAACCCCAGCACTCCCACTCTTCCGGTGCTTTTTTATACTGCTGAGTGCACTTTTGTCATTACCATGGCACACCATTACCATGGCAATGTTGCACACATCCTGTTAAATGCAGTCATGGACACACATCGAGCACTCCTGTTGAAGGGCTGTATACAGCTGCCTCCATAAAAAAGTGGAATCAACTTATGCCAAAATAGAATCTGTAGCACTCACCGTTTTCTTAACGCGGGCCGCTGCATATCTCAGCCAATCAGCAATGGCTTTCAGCGTTGTGTTTTTCTGAACTACAATGGCTTCCTCACCATTTTTCTTCTTTTGCTCAAAACATCTGTGTACTGCCCCTGTTGCAGGCACAAACATGTGAACATGAAGATAGCAATTAATTTACAATGTTTTTCTTACATACATGTCTATAAAGACCATGTACTAGGTCTACTGGCATGCGATAATAGCAAAAGTAACATAATTTAGGTTCATTGAAGTGAAAACAAGTATGTTTGATTTTGAAGCTGGCACCTTATTGGAAGCAAAAGGATAACCAACAATCCCACAAAATATGTTGCAGTAACCTAGCAGGTATTGCTGTGATTTTCAAAAGGACACTGCCTACAACTTCAAGAGCTAATATTGGAATCTCTATTTTGCCAGGGTGTTCATAATTGCAAAATCAAAAATAAGTCTTCAGAGAAGATTAAAAATGGCAGTCAATTGGAATTCTTATTGCTACAAAACCCTATAATGGTGTTATAAAGGCCCCATTACCTGTCACCACACAAACAAGCTGGAGGTGCTCCATACGTAGTTTCCCCTTTCTTCCAGTCATGCAGTAGTTCTTTGCAAGAGCATCTAGCATGCACCGTTTCATTACAGAGCGCGTGACATCTTGCACCGACGAACCTTCAATGAGCGCGAGGTGAGCAATCTGTAAAGAAACATACGCAGTCATGTCTTGTTAATATGGACCCCGCTGATATGGACACCCAGCTATATGGACGAAATTCTCGGCCCCGGCCTCTCGCCGTGCACTTCTGCCTCTATAATATAGAAACCCGCAGCCCAGACTATGGCCGGCTGTTTTGGGGACGAAATGGGAAAATACAGGCATTTTTGTCTCACTATGTTATTATGGACACGGGTCCACGAAGCAAAATGAAAAAGAAAGAATATTAGTGACCTGCAGAGGTCCCGTGTGTACCCGGAATTCACTATTGTCGGCTGTTCCTTGCCCGTCTCGTTATTTTTACGGATGAAAAAGATTAGTGAACCGCTGCGGTCGCAGCGTGCATACCCGAAATTCACTATTGTCCGTTACTTGTCTTTTCATTTTGAATACGGGTCCACAAACGACCCCTCCCCCAAATAAAAAAAAAAAGATAAGTGAATCACAGAGGTCACAGTGTGCACCCTGAATTCCCTATGGTCTGCTGCCCATCTTGAGATAAAACCTGGGTACCTACAGGTGGTGGAGTTTTTTCGGGCTTTAAAATTAAAAGGCATGTCATCCCCTTTCTACACTTATTGCGGTATGCAAATAGCATCACACAGTGCTACACAAAAGTTGAAACTTTACAGCCCACACTGTTACACAGAAGTTGAAACTTTGCCAAGTGTCTTCCACACATCAAGAAAAAGATGTTAAATGAACCTAACTGTTGTTTTAAGACTTTAGGGCTGGTACTGGATCAAGGATAGTATAAATCTCTGCAAGGTTCATCAGGTCAAGTGAAACCAGTACTGCATTTGCCTATCAGCTAACCAAACAGTCTTCATACAATGCGTTTTTGAGTATGTGTAGATGACCATGGACTGTCGATAGATTCTCGTTCAAGTGTGTGAAGTATTAACATACAAGGGCTTCTTTGTTCTCATCCTCCTGCAGAAGTGTCTCCAACTGTGCAACGTCCTCATGAGATGAGAGTGGCAGAAGGTGGAGGACCGCACGGATCGTAGTTGGTTTCTTGGGCTCATGACGTTGTGCCTCCAGCTGTCTCAATATTTTAGCTTGGCTCTGGAGCTGCGCCGCAATGCCTCCAAGCAGTCGAAGCACCTCTGCCTGGAATCCTGATAATTTCAAGAATAGCTGTACTATAAATTCATAAGTATGGATTAGGGCTCTGATGAATAGGGAAGATATGACATTACAGTATTTGTATGCGTGATATGAGCTGATCTTACCTGTTCGCTTACGTTTAGCTCCAGGAACATTCGCAGAACTGGACGAAGGGGGCTGCTGATTCTGAGGGACAGGCATTTTTGGAGGCGCAGGAGCCGGAATGAATGTAGAAGTCGATGCTTGTGGGTTGCCATGTCCATGTTGCGCAACTGGTTCACTTTCTTGCTCATCCTCGGATGATGACAAGATGTGCCGAGGTGGTTTTCTCTTTCTTTTCTGCGACCCTTCTTCTTCTGTCGCAAGGTCGGATGTCTCCTCTGCTTTTTTTTCTTTGCGCTTGGCATCTCCGTATGTCGCTGAGGGAAGAAAACTCAATACTGTAGCTTATGGCAAAGTTACGTCTAGATGTGAGCCTATGAGCACTTCAGAGTTAATAAAGTCATTATTATCACCAATAGTTTACACCAAAAGCCCAGATCATTTTATGTTGAACACATATGTTCGCAGCATCAGGTAGAAATATATTGGCCATGAATGTCATGTACACACTAATATCGGCTACATTAGTGTCAATATGTGAATACAAGCATTTGGTGTTATTACACTAATACATTCATCCTCCTTTAGCCCATTGTTATTTTTGCATGCAGTGTAATGACTGAAAAAAGCCTACCTCTGCTTATTTCAATCTGAATGAGCACAGTACCAGGACACATTTATATGCCATAATGAGCAATGTGTAACACATATTAAATATAGCAGACTAGCAATAATAGTGGACCGTAAGTTTCTCACCTAGAGCATGAACCAGCGCTGCCACACCTCAAAGACAGGCTGTTCTTTAAACAAATTTGCAGTCTTATTAAATGAGAAGCCCACAACATGTGTCTCAGAAAATACCCTTTCTCGAAAGGTGTATTTTTAGCCTAAATTGTCTCTTCAAGTCTAGTCCCAGCAAGCAGATCATAAGAAAAATGTTCTGCATAATTCTGAATTGAGTAGGCATTTATCAGTACAGGTGGCATATCCTTTTTCCACCAAGGTGGGTGGTTAGAAAAATATGATAATGTGGAGCCTCGCAAGGTGCTGCAAACCGGTTCATTCAGATATTAATCAGGCTTCAAAGCTTGGAACATAATCAGTCAGCAGGTTCAATGAATTTGGATACCAAGTCCACATATTTGTAACTGCGCGCACTGACTCAAGGAAGTAACAAAAACAGCAACCTTGCCAATTTGCCATTTGGCAGCTGCATCTCAAAATTGCCCGACAGTTTAAAAAGTTGCCTGCTAATTAGCTAGAAAAAAAAGTGATGGTAACGATTGCTTCATGTGGCAACATGCCTTGCACATTTTTACAGGCACTTGTTTAGGCTTAATCTATTCCCTGTAATTGCTGTAAGGATTAGAATCTACACTTATGTTTTTCTTTAACTTCAACAATATTTGATCACATTTTTAGTAGGAAAATAGGCTGTGCACAATTGTAATTTTGGGATTTTTGGAATGCTTACGGCCCATAGTGTGAGTTCTTACAAAAATAGATGACCTCAGAAACGTAACGAGGTTTCTGAGATTGTCTACCTGCGGTGATAACTCAATCTACAGGCTGTGAGCTTCCTAAAAATCCAAAAATTACAATTATGCATTGCCTATTTAGTATTTTCCTATCAAAATAGGATCAAAGACCGTGACATACCCCTTTTTGAGCGGAAAAATTGTCCCGGGATGGGTGGTGCATTTTCCAGCAGCGGCACCAGCAGGGTGACAAGGGCGCTTGTCAGTCGATGGCGAGCGACGGCAACCCCGTATCTGGGTGCGGACTGCCTTTCAGACTTTTTTAGCTAGCTACTTAATCTCTCATCGTTGGAGTTAGGAATAGCATGGGAGCGAGAAAGAAAATGTCTCCCGCAAGTATTACTAGAACACGCTCCAGGATGTAGACGAGAAGACATCATTCCCGCTGAGGAAGGCGAGGTGAAAACTATAGTTTGCATGTATTCCTATCGTCACAGGGTTAATAAGCGGTTTTGTCTGCTACACTATATCACAATATCAAGCATCTTCAAAAACCTCTTTAGTGTCCCTTTAGAGGCCAACATACACTACACGCTTTCCACTTTTTCGTACTTCCCTCTCTTCTATATCCTCCCCACATCTCTCCCTTCCACAACATGGCTCCCCCTCAGTTTAGGAGAGGAGGTCGCTAATACGATTAGCTCCCCTGCAGAGGATAAAGGTCGAGTGTCGGTCTTTGAGGGAAAGGAACAGCTAAAATTTGTAAGAATCTTGATCCGGCAGTATTTTCATTACTTAATTATGTAACAGACACTTAAGAATATAACAAAGCCAATAAGCAGCTATGTGGACCAGCAGTTGATTTTTCTCCATAAGTGGCACAGAAGCATAATGACTTTTCAATATAAATTCAGACAAAATCTGGATCTTGTGCCCTAAAAACTCAAAAGTGTAGATGAGTAGATTTTTTTGGTTGAATATTACTTTCTGAATTATGAGTAAATAAGAAGAAACTTCCAGAAATAAAACTACCTGCACTGCATCACACATTCCATGCAAAAAACAAAAGCTTTCACCAGAAATAGAAGAGGGAATGTTCAATAGCGTAAAAAGAAATGCATGAAATGGATGAAGATTAATATAGGTACTACTTGCATTTATCAGTCTCTTTTCAGATACAACGTGAAAGGTAGAAACACTTGAAATACTTATAATAAAATACTTAAAAGCTCCAAAATAAGACGTGTCACGATACATAAGGTAAAGCCTTGCAAGCAAATGACTGTTTGTGGGATTAGCATAGAAATTACAAAGTGCAGAAATAATATTTGATTTCTATTATTGGACTTACAAGATGATCCCATGGCTCTGCATGGGAGTAAAGCCCAGCCAGCGGAGGGCTTTTCGCAATCTTTGACAGCCTTTCTCAGCTTGGTGCCTTTATAGGGTGGCCAAGCTGTGTTGTCGCCTTTTAACCAGTTTGATGGAACTACTGACAACGCACCATCATCCTCCATGAAGCTAACAACATGATACATTATCTGAAAAGAAGAAGTATACTATTTACTTTCTAAGCCATTTCTGAAAAATTTGCCACTCAGAAAACATACAGCAGAGCGATACTGTTACACATGCAAGTGAGTAAGAGAAAAAATAGCATATGAGCCCTGTCCATGTGGCAAGCAGACACATTTGCATTTGATGTCTTTCACGCTCCACAACGAGTACTCTGTTGAAAGACTTGACGCCTTGAAGATTCCAAGCTCACAGGAGGGCACTACACTCATGTACAGGTTATCAAGCACTCTGAAAAACTGGCCACAGATGCTGTGCTCCCCATTTTCTTGTAAGAAGTTCCTGATGAGGACCACATTTCCGTCCTTCAGCTGGACACAGTTGTCGGACGGCATGACAGAAAGCCGTGTGCCCTCCAAAGTGTGTTCAAAGTATTGGTTTCTCAGGAAGTTTAGAGGTGCTGGTCCATCACGGTGTTGTTTCAGCTTAGTTGGGCTTTGTTTTGCAGAACTCGGCGAGGAGGCGGAGACGAGCTCCAACTTTCGCTTGATCACTTGTTGTAGAGCCAAAGCAGGCCCCCTCACCAACTTCTTCAGCTTCCCAAGGACGTTTTCAAAAGGAAACGCTGAAAATGTGTCTACAGGGCCAAGCTGCCGGACATCCTGTGCTAGGTGAATCAAGGAGTGGATGTTGTATACATAGATTCCATTCCCGTACAGGGTGCCAGCCTCAGAGACAAACTGTCTTAACAGGGACTCTGCAAGATCGCAGTGTGTAACTGCAAACTTGGGGCTGGCTAGTATAGCCATGGCACAGCTGAGCTTCATGAAGTGCATGTAGAACTGCTTCTCCAGATGTTTTCGGAGAAGTGCTGGTCCAAAGTAGAGCAGAAAACTGCGGAACTCGGCTGCTTTCCAGTGCTCTCGCTCATTCAGCGAGCGTGGCTTGCGGTTGAACTCGCAAGGAGTGTTTGCCTGGAATGCTAGCAGTCGTTCCGAGATCTCAAGCTGGGATCTGATGGGCGGCTTACAAGCGGATGGTGTTGATGATGTCCAGTACTGAACGAGCAGTTTCTTCATGACACCTAGACAGACTAAGTGCATATAGTCAAGTGGAAACATGCTGATCAGACCAACACCCAGTGTCAAAAGTGGTGAAGTGCCACGGTGATGGTCGAGATTCACCCGATCTCTAAATTCTTCGTCGGTGCGCAGTGGGGCATCGACATCTGGGAACGTTATTCTCTTGCCATCATGCTTTCCTTTTTGAGTGCATTTCTCACATCCAAAGTATGCCATGTGTCCCTTGATGCTCTTGAGGTATGCCCTGGCCGGGGCATCGCAGACAAAGGCACGAAGCCTTACTTTATACACCTTGCTGCTCAGACGGATGCCCTGGGCCAACAATGTTGCCATCTCTTCTATGAAATCTTTCATGAAGATATCCACATCTTCAGGTTTGGAGTCTCCTTCATAGAGAGCAGCAAGAAAAGGGGTCTGTCCACCACTTTCCTTGACTGAAACAAGAATCGGCCAAAACTGCTTCCGCCAACTTCTAGAGATGGGAAGTCCATCCACATTGACGGAGAGAGAGAGTGTGGAGCACTCCGCAGGGAGGCACCCAGCTGAAACTTCAGCCATCAATCCAGGAGTTATACCAAAATAGTGGTAAAAACCACTCCCCATTCGGACCTCGGTGTTTCGTAAGGTCTTCAGGAGTGTCCGAGCATCACTGGGGAGGTCAGGGTGGTAGGGCCGAAGCAGCTTGAGCAATCGCGTCAAGTGCGATGCAGGTGTGTTCGCATTAAGTGCCCAGTCTGCCAGTTTGCTGGCCAAACTGGGCGAGACCTCGCCTTCCCCACCTTCATTCAGCAGCTGTTCTAAATCTTCCTCGTGAAACGAACCTCCCTCATCGACATCTGATGATTCCCATTCCAGGTCGTCCAAGGGGTCATTCAAGGAAATGTCATCGTCTCCTTTGGAAGTAAATTCGGAGCTTCGTTGACTTTGGACTTTAATCAAACTTTCTGTTGCCTCGGCTTTTGCCGCCACCGGAAGAGCGCAAACATCTTCATCGGTGCTAGAGTCCACAGGATCTATCAGGGAAACGTCATCGTCTTCGTTTGAAGTAACTTCGGAGCCTTGTTGACTACTGACCTCAATTAAGCTTTCGGTTGCCTCACCTTCTGCCGTCACCGGAGGAGCGCAAACGTCTTCATCGGTGCTGGAGTCCACGGGATCTTCATTGCAGTACCTTTCTAGTTCCCTCTGAGCGTTTTGCGCGATTCTTCTTCTTTTCTGGCGATCGGACAACTCCGACAGCGAACGCTTAACGCGCTCCATTCTCCACAATAACAAGTAACAAAATACCACGTACCTTGTTTTGTGTTATTTGCACGGCGAACGGCGATTGACCGATAGGACGATGGTGCGGATAGCGCTTTCGAAAGCCTCGGCTTTGCGCGGGAACCACGGGAACACTGCTGGCTGCGCAATCAAAAGTGCTACTTCTGGCTATGGCTAGACACGAAAGGCTTATAGCCCGATAGAGCCCCGTAGGCTTTCGATCACTTTATTAATGAACAAAATAAATAATTTTATTGAATATAGGACCAAATAACAAGTATAATTTTTGAATTATAAAATTGTTTTTAATCACTTTAGCACTTTAGTCGATAATAAAATTTGGTTGTTTTGGTGAACATTGGTCGACGTCGCTAGGTAACGCAAGCTACCGCTCGTTAGAAAGCTTACAAAAGGTATTTATCTATCCATCCAGGCAGCGTACACAAAATGGCAGCCGTGTTTTTCCCGTTCTTCCTAAGAGTTTTTCCAAGCGTTTTTCCGATGACACCGATTGAGAGCAGACGAAGTGATCCGCGTACAAGCTTTTCATCATCAGAAGTTTAAAAACTCCGGTTTACGAGTGCTACATCTGTGCATGCTCTTTGATAGGCGCTTCAGATGTGTGAGTAACGAATTCATATTGCGGGTGACGAAACTGTAGAACGGAAGCTCAGCGAGCGCTCTACACGGCCCTCGTACTTCCCACTCTGGACTGGAGTATTGCTTGGCGACATGGTCCCCGCCCCAGCAGCACCTCTGGGAACGGCTCGAAAGTGTGCAGCGCCGTGCGACACGGATCATCTGTGGCACAGCGGACGGCTCGTACGATGCACGCCTGGTCTGGGTGCCCTTTGTCGGCGACCCCCCACGAGAGGCGACGGGCCTCACGGATGCGCGCACTGTGCTGGATGCTCGATGGACCGCTTTCCGGGATCTCGTTGTACTCCGCAGTGCGGACAAGCAAAAGAACTGGGCAGCCTGAGCCTCTCCGTGGAAGGACCACCCGCGACTGCAAATCCCGGCGGCCCGGTGGCCATTGGAGATTTCCTAACAATTCCTCCAGCCTCTTGAAGCCCCCTACCTGAATCGAGCGACGAGTCCAGGGAACTGTGCTAGCTCTTCTCTCGCCAACTGGCTTTGAACTCGTGACGACCAGTGACTTGCACCATTATTTTTCTTGTTGCTGCGTGTGCTTGTTTTGTTTTACCCTACTGAGTCCCCTTTCTCCCTGTCTCCTGCACTGTAGGGGGCGGCCTGCTAGCAGGCGCATATGCATAAGGGTTATCACCTTCTTGTCTAGCCTCGCACGTCGTCGCATACACGTCAAATCCGTGTGCAAATAAATTACAATCACAGTTACAATTACAGAAACAAAAACAATGATGACAAGTATTCCTGCACAGCTATACACTGCATTGACCCTTAAATAAGGTGCTGCGAAGGCTACAGCCACGAGACCGCAGCTTTGCAGCGTGAGACGGCCCTTTGGACATGAGTGAGCGAAAGGGCACGTGGTGCATGCATCCTGCTTCGTGGGTGCTTGCTCACTGGGGCCATTCGAAAGTTTTTGAACTTGCTCGTGCTGCATGCAGGTGTAGCTCTACCAAAACTGAAGCGGCAATTAGGGAGACTGTGCATTCCGTTTACTATTTCTGATTACTGGGAAACCATGCTTCGTCCATTTTATTTAATTATTCATTAGTTAATTCAGAAATTACTTCAGTAAAACCAAACTGCTACATCCATTCAATGCAGCCCTTTACACACAAAAGTACAATACTTTCCAGACCATAGTCTGCAAACTATAAATGCCTAAAAATTAATATTCCACTCTGCAGACTATCTGCAGGTGCAAAGGATACGTTACATTTTGTGTCTTTCGTTCTAGATATTTTACAATATTTACAATATGTTTTGCTTTGCTTAAGTGAGAAACAGGTCATACTGTCAGTGTGTCGTCCAGGCCTTTGATGTATTGGGGTTGACAGGCTGTTAGCTTAAGTGCCTCCAGGCAATCTTTGTTTGTCAAGCTTAATCCTCATGAGCTCTGTAACTCACCACGACAAGCGGGCGCAAAAGGACCTCTCCCCTTAATGTGGACCGTCTAAGGAAACAGATATTCAGCTTGAATTTGCCCCTGTGGACTATACACTGAGTGGAGACTGTACGCCGGGTGCGGACGAAGAAATATTGTAGCGGTTTATTTCCTTAGGGCATCAAGACATTACAGAGTGGAGTGGACAGAAATATTTTAATGCAAACAAACACATTAAAAACTAAATCAAAATATTGTTAACAAGACCCCAAATTCATTATCGCACTGCATCTTTAAATTCGGTGCAATCAGCTAAGCCAGCGATAAGTACGAGGAGATGATTCTTTCCCAGTGATGACATAGGCGGGAATGACTGACAAAAAGTGGAGGTGTGACAAAGGGGGATGCCATTGCGGTGGTGGATCTTATGAAATAAATACAGGCGAGATATGTTTCTGCAGACAGAAAGGTGTGTTGTCTTCTCAAGTTGCGGGATGTTTTTGTAACATTTTATAAGTTATCACAGATGCATCTCCTTAATGTTACCTTTGAAACATAGGCTCTTTGTTTCTGGATTATATTGCGCTAACATTTCTGCAGCAACATTTCAGTAACATACATAAAAGTGGTGTAACGTTGCATC